TTACACAATTTCTAAATAAAATTCTGTATTTCATGAGTGAAAAACAAAAACAAAACTGCCACCTACCATTCTGGGCTGGTCTGCCTCTTTCTTTGGTCTCTCCCTGGCCGTGGAGGACAAGAGATGGGGGCAGTTTCAGATTTCACCTAGTGGGAACTCCAAGGTTGCAAACCAACAGGCATGCTGAGATGATGTAAATAAATGCAATGTAGTCTAAAATGAGCTTTAAAAAAAAAGATTTAGATTTTGTTGCTGCTTCATAGAAAAGTAGAAATTATATATTATAAATTATGCCTTCTTTTTTATATATCCAGTTTCTGAAGGCTTGTGTTTTCTTCTTGGTCAGAGAAAACTTTCTAGGTACTGGGGATAGGCTGAGCTGAAAAATGGAGCAGGGCTGATTCTTCTTTTATGTCTTGTTTATCAAGTGCTTTTTTTTTTTAAAAAAAAAAAAATATCCTTATTGATTTCAGAAAGAGGAAAGGAGAGGGAGAGAGAGAGATAGAAACATCAATGATGAGAGTCATTGATCGAGCCCGCAACCCGGGCATGTGCCCTGACCGGGAATCGAACCCCGATTGCCTGGATCCTAGGTCGACGCTCAACTGCTGAGCCACGCCTAACCGGGCTATCAAATGCTTTTAAAAATGTGATTTCATTTGGTAGAAGTGTGGCATTACTTAAATTAGATAGTAACTCTCCTTTTAAAAAAGTAACAAACTATTTCTTGTAAAAGCAGTTTTAGGTTTACAGAAAAATTTTGCAGAAAGTACAAAGTCCCCAACTACTGCCTCCCCTACTCCCCCCAGCCTTCCCTGCTATCAATACCTTGCATTAGTGTAGTACATTTGCTACAATCGATGAGGCAATATTGATGCTTATTATAGAAGTCCGTATTTACATTAGGATTCACTCGTACATTCTGTGGGTTTGATAAATTTAAAATGGAGTGTATCACACAGGATAGTTCCATTAAAAAGTCCTTTGTGCTCTGCCTGTTCATCTCTCCCCTACCCCAGCTCCTGACAACCACTGACCTTTTTACTGTCTCCACAGTTTTGTCTTTTTTAGAATGTCAATAGTTGGAATCATACAGTAAGTAGCCTTTCAAATTGGCTTCTTTTCCTTAACAATATGCATTTATGAGTCTCTCATGTCCTTAGTGTCTTGGTGGTTCATTTAATTTTATTCCTGAATGATATGCCATTGTATAGATGTACCACCATTTGTTTACCCATTCATCTAGTGAAAGACATCTTGGTTGCTTCCAGTTTTTGCAATTATGGATAAAGCTGCTATAAATATTCTTGTGTAGGTTCTTTGTAGGCATAAGTTTTCAACTCATTTGGGCAAATACCAAGGGGAAAACAGTCCTTTTTTAATAAAACTTTCACTTATGGTATTCACATCTTGACAAATTATGATTTGCCTTTGTTGCTAACTCCTATGCTCTCCCAATCTCTTTCCCTTAGCACCATTGCAGTTTCTGCCACATATGAGTCACAGGAATGCCAGACACATGTCAACAACCTTGTCTCTAAAAAACAAGAAAATGTTTTAAAATCTTACAGGAACTGTCCCGGTACATGTGATATTCATTAATAGATGTGGCCTATGAAATAGCCTGTGTACTGTTTCTGTAGGTAGATGTCAATGCTATGCCTGAAAAAATGTACTTGCCTTGTCACCTCTGGTTCCTGCAGTCATAGCCATGTGTATAGTATAAGTTCTGCTTTTCTATTGATAATGTCAATGCCTATTTATTCTGATCAAAATCAGTCTAAAGAGAAAAGAATACTGACTTCAGAGTTCATATTCTCCGTAAATATGTTTGATACTGGGAAATTTTCTTAGCCTTCCTGATCCTCTGGGTCCTATGAAATGGGCACTAATATCCACCTTGCAAGGCGGTGTTGAGGATCGGAAGTGATGTAGATAAAGCCTGGCACATTGGAGGCAATCTATTAATGGTGTGGTGGTGGTGATGTTTGTAGAGCAAACATATTGGCCAGGAAAAGAGGATCCTTTGTGCTCCAATGGGGAAATTTTATTTGAACAATAAGAACAGTGACCAGGATACATGAACATGTCTCCTAATAGCCTCCTTTCTATTGATGTCCACTCACACTTAAAAGCTTTCAGAGCTGTTTCCTTATTATTAATGTCTAACTCTTATTGACCCACCAGCAGGGTTGCCTCCCATCCAGCTGTGCCCCCTCAGGGTTGAAGGATCTAATAAATAAGCATTTCATTTCTCTGTCCTTTCCTGTTCCACATCCTATTGTCAGCATGGCCCTCCTCCATCTCCACGCCGATGCAAGGCTTCCTAATTATACACGAGGCTCTGCTGCATGCTCCAGTCCACAGAGTTTGTTTCAATTCCCCCTCCTTTTCTGACACCCCCAGAATCCTTGCTGACTGGCCACTTTTTAGCTGGTACTATTTAGCAAGTCATAAACTATTTTTGTTGTTGTTAGTCAACTTGAGCAAGCTCTTGAACTTAGGGGACCATGACTTCTATTTCTTGTACTCCATACAGTGTCCTATCACATATAGCTGTTTAGTAAATCAATCCGTTAATTTGATTCAATTCCAGAAACTAAAAGGTATTTGGCAGCTCAGCCCTGTAAAGCTATAATAGATTTCTAAGCAACTTTAAAATAAGAAGGACATTCATTCTCCCAGAACAGGTTCAGCTTTATCTGGAAGTAAGAATGTGGACTTATTAGATGTCTCTGGAAGTCCATTGTAAGTGGGTGGCTCTGTCCTGTGACTTGCTAGGTGAGCAATCCTGAATTATCTGTGGGTTAGCTGGCATTGATCACATCAGTCACCAGTCTCAGCTTCTACCACAGCCGTGCTGAATTCATCATCTCTTAAGGGGCATGTATGACTACATTAGCCCAGGTGACATGTCATTAGGAAAGGGTGTCTCTTTACAATCCAAAATAATGAGTGCTTCCAGATCCAAACAGAACATAGCTGTGGATTATTTCATATTTATGTTTCTGTCATTCTCTCCCATCTCCACTAATACAGCTTGATGCTTGACTGCCCTCTAAGCCACTTCCACTGCTGTCACCTGTGACACTGGCAATGCATTTTGCTGAAGGGGAAGGTTATTAGCAAGGTTATAACTTAGTGCAGGTTATTTGTAGGACACTGCTTCTGAGTCTTGAGTCTGAGTCCAGAAAGCAATGGAATATTCCATGTGTTGCCCCCCCCATGCCTTCTGCTGCCCCCGGGGCCTGTTTCTCCGGTAAGCGTTGGGAAGCTGCCTGGCAGAGGCTGGCTGAAATCAGAGAAATCCTGACTTTAGCTGTTTCAGAAAAGTCACCCCAGTATTTGAGGTATGATGAGGACAGAATTAAACAGGAGTGAAAGGCTTGGAGTGGTTCCCGTTTTCCTCCATAGTGGATGTTCACTGGTGTGACTGTTATTTTTGTGACTATCGCTTTATCTACACTTTGACCAGCCCTTGGAACACCACCTCTGGGTAACTTAAATGAAAACTTGTTTTCCAGGATGAAATAAACTGGCAGAAATTTCCATTGTTCATCAAATCTGGTGCGAACGGTTTGCCTGAGCTAACCATGTAGGGCGCTGGGGGTGCCCTTCTGTAGAAATAAGTGCTGTTGCTCCAAATAGAAAGTGGTCAAGGAGACAGCGAATCGATACCTCAAGCTTTTATTTTCTGTCCCTTTGTGAAAAAGTCGCCTACATTGTTCGGGCAGGAGCAGCAGGCGGCTCGGCTGGATTTCCAGCGCTTCCTAGCTTTTGCACTATTAGCTTATTTTTTCCAGCACGGCCCTATCATAACAACCCGCTCCTGGCCCTGCACTCCTGGCCCCTCACGATATTTTGTCCTGCTCCTGCTGAAAGAAAAGGTATCTGTGCACACTGTGTCTCTTCGTTTGGCTCCAGGGATTTCCCTTTGATTTGGAAAGAATAATCTTCCAAATTCCGCTATAAAATATACGGGAGAGAGAGAAAAGGTTAAGCACCAGGAACGAGCACCAGTGTTGACACTTTGTTTAAAGAATGAAGTGCAGGTCAATTTTCTTTGGTGTTGCTCAGGGAGTGATCAATTACTGTAGGCCGGAATTATCAGCAGCGTTGCTGGGGCCTGATTTATACCTCACGGCTTGACTTTGTCTGCACCCTTCAAGATATTAAAGCATAGCTAATATTCAGCAGGTACCTCCGAGACACCGGGAGCAGCCCCGCGGCTCCCTAATTGCTCTCTGCCCGGGTCTAACCAGAATATTTATGGTGAGTAGCCAGTTATCTCTTCTTTGGCAGCCGGCCCTGCCTTCCTGTCCTGTGGAATTGCCTGCATTCGCATTTGCAAACAGAGGCTCACTCAAGTGTCACTAAAGGAAGCGGAGGTGGAGCCAAAAGGGCTTTAAAAAGGAAAGAGGAGTCATTCTACTTTTCAAAAAGAGAAACGGTGTGGCGTTTGGGGAGGAATCGGATCTGAATATTCTTCACCAAGGGTCGTGGTTGGAACTTTCCATCAATTCTTTCCTTTGTTTNGGTGTGGCGTTTGGGGAGGAATCGGATCTGAATATTCTTCACCAAGGGTCATGGTTGGAACTTTCCATCAATTCTTTCCTTTGTTTTCTTTTTTCTCTCTCTCTCTCTCTCCCTGTAGCCTTTGCCCGCTGCCCTCTCTGCCTGTCACAGTGAAGTCAGCTGCAGGCCTCCAGAGTGTGGCTGAGAAATTGTGAAATGTGTCATAAGGGTGTCAGGTATTTCTTACTGGCTTCCCAAAAACTTAGATAAAGAAATCTCTCCCAGAGTGTCCCTTTCAGGCTGCTTTCGGACACTGTCTTGAGTTGAAGCAAGAGTTGGAGGGTGACAGAGAAAGAGCCCAGGAAAAGATGCCCCAGGGCTGCAGGCTGAGCGGGGTGAGCACGCCTGGGGGCAGACCGACCCACCTCGCTATGTGCAACCAAAGTCAAGTTGTTTTCTATTGAAAGCTCAAGCCCCTCGAGATCATGCGGCTCTTCCTTGTCATTCTGTTGCTGGTAGTTTTTAGATTTGGCTTTAGTCTCTCAGCACTCCAGCGCTGGAACTGTCCTGAAGCCTCCCCCTCGGGAAATGCGAATTCTACTTGCGTGGGTAAGTAACTCCATTCAAAGGAATTCACGTCTTCTTGGAAACTGACCTCCGCTACCTGTTCATTCTGTCTTGTAAAGTTGGGCATTTTTTTTCTGATTTTTCTCTGTGTGTGTATATTTGCTTAATTTTTGTTTTCTGATGCTTGTATAGTTTCTTACTGGCTGTTAGAGCTAATCTGCTACCGGCGGTACAAATTCTTGGTTCTCAAACTGTTCTTCCACGTGTGGGTTTCATTTTAAACTAGCTGAACATTTCTTTTCATGCCTTTATTCTGACATGAGGAGTAACTAAACACGTAGTTGATCAGCTTTTCATTGGAAACTGGGAAAACAGATGGTGCTTTTTTTGAGAAACTGTCTCTATTTAAGGCATAAATTCTCTAATAACTTTGTGTAAGAACTCAGAAGTTGCCAAAAAATCAGTGAAAAAATGGGTGAGAATTGGGAAAAAACGTGATTCTATTATGAAGCCAAGGGAAGTTTCACCTGACACCTCCTCCCTCCTTCCTCCCCACTCCTTCTGTTTCTGAAGCTCTGACCAGGCTCCAGGATTTTAGCAACAGGTGCATTGTAATGTTGAGAACTGCTAAGAAATGACAACATGCCACATGCCCCTCCCATATTAAACGGGTTTTTAATCTAGGAGAAGGGAATTTTACTGAATGCAAAATGACAATCTTGCTTAAGGAAGTTGCCTGAAAAAACTCTCTCTCACTGTTGATTCATTTCATTTAGCTCTTGGCTAGGTCTCCAATCTGCTGCTCAAACAAGGCAATCATTTCCATCCATTACAGGGCATGCACTACTCTGACATTCCTTTCTTGTCATTTTTCCCCTTTGAGAAGGCATCTGGCTCTCAAAAAGAGAGAAATTGAGGAAAACATTATAAAGATTCCAGGAGCGAACTCTCTGGAAGACAGCACAAAGTAGTGGGAATGGAGAGAACAGTTCTGAGCCAAACTACTGACATTGGGCTCCTGCCCTGGCTCTCTCATGAAGGAAGTTTCAGTGAGGAGGTGGCCTAGCTCTGCATCTCAGGACTCTGTCTCCAGGCCATGCTCATTGTAACAGGTGAGCAGAACCCCAGGGTACTGGAAGAAAGGACTAATTCTCATGATCTCCATGACCCCAGTACCCGGAACATTTCCGCTTTCATGTTATGTACTCAGTAAAGTCTTGCTGAATGAATGAGGAGTCTTTCCTTCACTTGCTGATAGCAGAACTCCAGAGACTAGCAACCAAAGGGGCTGACTAAAGACAAAATGACCTCACAAGCCTGTTGATCAGCTGTTAGAGGCAGAAGTGCAAGCTTTTGGACACAGTTGTGTTGAATGGACTGGAGCCTCTTTGGGGTGGGTGAATTGTCTCTAGAGTAGTTGGCAAGTGATCAGGATCAGGCACTGCCATTTGCATGGGACGTGAGAGGAGATGGCAGGAGCCAAGAAAGAAGCAGAACTTGAGAGACGGGAAACAATCCCACAGAAATGAACTTTCACACATAGCTTTAGAGTCTCAGGGAGCCACCCGATTTCTGCTAGCAAGTGACTTGTGCTCCTCGCCACCCCTGCCAGTGGCTCAGAAGTGTACCAAATAAACTTGAAGACCAGGACAGAAACAAGGAGTTCAGGGAACTGTGTCAGAGTGGAAGGAACACAGGTTTTAGAAGCAAATACACCCCATTTCAAAGCCATGCTACCTACTTGATACTTGAGTTATATCGGAATGTTGCAGGAAATACCCCTCTCCCCGTTTCAGGATTGTTGTGGGGATCACACCAGATACCAAGTGAAATGCCCTGGCACAGAGGCTAGCAGGCTGTGCTCAGTAAATGTCCTCTTGGCTCCAAGTCTTGGCTAAATCTCTTTGATCAGATCACGCCCTGAGATGCCTTATTTGAACAGTGCAGTGTCGTGGCACGGACCTCACATGACGTGGAACGTCTGTATGCCACTCTGTGACTCTGCCTCTTTGCTCCCTTGGTCCTTGCATGTCACTGGTTTAAACCCCCTGCTTTACACTCCACATCTCATGTTAGCTGATAACTGCCTGGGTCACACCCCATGCCCCCTGCATTTCAGAGGATAGTATTTCTCCTTTCTAAATAGATATGGTGCCATCATCTAGCCACAACCCTCCTCACAATTAAATTCTACTTGCCTTATTTCTTGCCCTTGGCATTGAGACAGAGCACCTCTGGCCAGCCTGACCCAGCAGAAAGAATGCTTTGTGGTTTGACAAGATTCAGGTAACTTTAGGCAAAGTTGTCACTCATGTGACTGCCAGCCACAGAAACCAAGTGATAACACAGAACTGGATTTTCTTTTCATTCCTCCCCTCCCGCGCTCTTTCTGCTTTTTTTTTAAATCGACTGAGGATTCTGTTAGCTTCTTTATGAGCTACAGTCGGTGAGGCCAGCAATAAAGAAAGCTGGCAAGTGGCTTCTGAACTTTCAAGCTTATTTGCCCTGGAGGAGAAATACCAGTTGAAAAAAGGAACTGTTCCTGTTTGCTGTCTGTAGCTACAGTATTTATATGAACTTTATTGGTAAAATGAAGGGTGAAGAAGAGGTATAGGCCAAGCCTCAGAGGACTGGCTGCAGGAAGGATCCTGGGGCACTCAGCAGACTGGGAGATCTTTTAGCAGTAAACAGTGAAACTGCTGATTTCAGCACTGGCTAAGGCTTGGTCAGCTTCCCAGTTATGTGCAAACCTGAGTAATTTCATGATTAGAATCTTTGTTTTTTCAGCCAGGGTTATGCAAAAGTTTTTGTGTGTTTTTTCAATATATTTTTATTGATTTCAGAAAGAGTATAAGAGAGGGAGAGAGAGAGAGAGAAACATCAATGATGAGAGAGTCGTTGATCGGCCGCCTCCTGCAAGCCCCCGACTGGGGATCAAGTCTGCAACCCGGGCATGTGGCCTGACTGGGAATCAAACTGCCATCTCCTGGATCACAGGTCGATGCTCAACTGCTGAGCCAGGCCGGCCAGGCAAGTTTTTGTTTTTTTAACCTAAGTGCAAAGAAATTATAGAAATGATTGTTTTATGCATACCATGTAAATGAAACAGTCCACCAAGTACCCAGTGGCTTATGGTCTTTGAGGGGTAGTGGTGTTTAGTGGTAAACAGCTTAAATTTTAGATACAGACCTGGCTTCAAATCCCAGTTTTGCTATTTGTGAACCGTGTGTGTCATTTTCCTCACTGTGAAATGAAGATAATGAACCCCTCCTCCTAAGATTGTTGTCAGGATTGCATTAATATATTTGTTGTCAGTGTTGGCCCCACATTAGAATCACCATTGTCCAGGTTACCACCCTGGGTCCCAGTCCATCTGGGTCAGAGTCTCTTCTGGGGGTGGAATCCAGGCATCATTTTTCTTTGAATCTCTCCCTTGATGATTCTAATGGGCTTAATAGGCTGCCTGGATTTAAGACCACTGAGTTAATACATGTAGAGTGCATAAAATAGAGCCTGGCATGTAATAGGCACTCGGCAAGTCTTAGCTGCTATTAGTATGTTTATCATTGCTAAAATTATTTTTATTCATGGTAATAGTACAAGTATTTTCTAAATATGGCTTGGTTCTTTCTATAATAATTGAACATTTTTTTACCATGGAAAATGCCACATTGAAAAAATCTGAGATAGTTTTGTAACTAGAATTAACTTTTATTAAAAATACAAAAACATATCAAACTGATTTGAGCAAGTGTCCTTGTGGAACTGCAGCTCCAATGTTTGTCTTTCTGTGACATCAACTGATAAAAAGTTCCACTGACTGCAAATTAAATATACTTGTTAGATTTCTTACCAGTAACAAGTTTATTTTAACAACAACAGCAAAAACAAGGCACTTGAAAGTGATAATTTAAATTTCATATATATTTTTCTTTGTATTTGGAACCAATTTCTTTAAGATTTTTTAAAAGCTGTTGAAGGCATATAAAGGAATGATAAAATAATTCTTTAAATGAATTTATATTTTGGGGCTAGATGGGAGCTGTTCAAATACATGACATTCAGTTTAGTGGTTGGAAGGTGAGAATTATTTGTTTGTGTTCATGATAAAGCAAATGATTGTTTCCCATAAAAAGTAAATGAACTAGTAATTCGGTTTGAAATTTGCCTTCATGAAAATCCTTTTGAAATAATTTCTTTAGTATGAATGTTTTCTTTCTTTATATCAGTAGTCTCCAAACTCCATTCTATCTATTAAAAAATTAAAATGTGGGCATATGCTCTCAATATGTGTGTTATCTGTTGCTTACATGTTATATATACTACTATTACAAACATTATACTACACATAATATTTTTAATATTTTCTTTCCACACAATAGTGAACCTTCTTACAGTCTGTAAATGGTACACATTCTACTTGGACGAGACTGTTCCAGAGAAGTAATAAATAATGGAATACATACTTTGTCTTTCTTAGCTCTTAGTCAGCTCCTTTCACTTAGGCATGAAGAGATAAGTAAAAGGATTACCTTTTCTTTTTTTTTCAATTAAAGGGGAGTTCTTCATAGTCAATGACTTCTCTCAGAGTATAAAATGGAAGAAATAAAAATGATTTTTCTGAGTGTATAATGGAAGACATAAAAGTGCACTGAGATTCTTCCATAAGGACCAGAAGGAGAAACCACATTCTTAATGATGAGCTGGAGTTTCAGAAATTCCAAAGCTCCATGGCCTGCTGGGGTCACTATATCTTAGGATTAAAAAAAAAAAAAATGTTTTCATTGATTTTAGAGAGAAAGGAAGGGGGAGGGAGAGAGAGATAGAAACATCAATGATGAGAGAGAAACATCCAATGACTGTCTCCTGCATACCCCCTACTGGGGATCCAGCCCACAACCCCAGGCGCGTGCTCTGACCAGTCATCAAACTGGTGACCTCTTAGTGCATGGGAGGACACTCAGCCTACTGAGCCATAGTGGCCAAGGCTTAGGATTTTTAAATAAAAATGGCCTGTGCCTTCCTCCTATGTTCTGGGGAAA